TAAAATTTTGTTTTATGATTATTTTTCTTGTCCCTTTTCTCATTTCTAATTTCCTATCATTTTTGTTTATTTTTATTTTATTCCCTTAACTTGTATTACAAATTATTTTAATATACTAATATAAATACTCAAATTAAAATTACAAAAAAAAAAATTATTTGAATGAGATTTTAGACAAGAGAACTTTAAAATGATTAAAACGAATGATTCGTATTGTTCTTGTTGTTGATCTTGCTTTATTGAAATATTTTCTTTATTTGCAGGGTGGATGGAGGCCAGAGACAGTCAGAAACCCTTTTTCAAAGCAGAGTTCAATGGGAAGCAGCAGAGTCGTCCCTAGTCCTACTACCTCCACCATAGTGTCGCCTCACATTCGTCTTACTGACATTACTGTGCCACAACAGCAAGGGAATGCCCCAGCGTTAGCTCAGCAACTAGTTGCACCCATGACACAGTTGCTGCCTCAATCAAATCCAGGGATGATCCCTGAAATGCGACAGCCTCCAGTAGTTCCCTCTCCAATTACACAGAAAGATGTAACCTTAACCATTAAAAATCAACCCACCATGCACTCTTACATGCCAAACTTTCAGGTTGCAGCTGGCCCATCATTGCAGTTTGAAACCATAACTAACGTAAAATCTTCACCACCAGTGACCATGGCACCAACAGCAGCAGAAAAGTTACATACTCCATTTTCCTTGCCAGCCTATGTATCAAGGTCACAAACACAGTCACAATTGCAGTCACAGCCATCCCTTACATCTGATCCACTATTTACTCATGCATATTCATCTAGAGTTCCATTGGGAAATATTGATGCAGTAACTGATCTATGGAGAGCCAGGCAAGGTTTGGCTTCTACTCCTTACTCTCAGGCCAATCAGAACAATTATAATACATCATTGGGAGGACCTGTGCAGCCTCAGTTGGAGCCAGGTCCTCCATTGGAAGGGAATGAGTTTGTGAGTAACAAAGGATTTGAGTCATGGAGTCCGGACAAAAGTTCCACTAGATCTCCAGGGTATGTACCAAGACGAAACCTAGGGCCTGGAACAAACCCCAGATGGGGTTACAGGCCAGATAATTCATGGCAACAGGGTTCATCTGAGTACTGGGATCATAACAGACAGGGCAATAGAAGGTGGCGTGACCGGAGGAGATGACTTGTTCCGGGTTTTAGAAGTGATTGATTCTGCCTGGCCTGTTATCAGCTTCCTGTATACACTAAATGTTTAGTGACATTTTTGTGTTCGGAGAAAAGGATGGGTAGATATATGAGAAGATAGGAACAGTAAATATAATGAACATTACAGATGCAATTGCAGCTTGTTCATGACATTCAATTTCATGTATTCACCTCTATAGTAAGGTGGCCCTGTTTCTTGCACTAGAACAACCCAACCTCATTCTGGGCCAAAATGGAAAACAAGAAAGCATTATGCACCAATTTAACCAAAAAAAAAAAAAAAAAAAAAATAAACGAGGCTCCTGGCCCACCGCGTGTCCGGAACTTATTCTTTGCAAGCTTTACTTTAATCGTCGTATATTATAAAAATATGCCTTTAACCCCTTCTAGTGTAAAAATGTGCCCTCCAAGAGTTAAGGATTTCGCCTTTAGTGTTATTAATTAATAAATTTTGGCATTAAATGCACACTTTTAATAAATTGATCATTTAAGTGATTAAATGCAAATTTTTATGATTTAGGGGTTAGTAATTTGGTAATGTTTTAATTACAATATTATATAAAATTATAAATTTACAATCATAATATATTATTAAATAAATATGATGTTTGATTTTAACTTTGGCATAAATTAATTGTCATTTTTTATTTTTAAGATAAATAAAATTTTTTTATTTTAATCTCATCATTATTCATTTACTGCAATTAATCATATAATTACAAAAAAAATTATTTAT